CTGGTTTCAATGCCTTGAGAAGGTTCGCCGCTGTGAGCTTACGATGAGGGTGTTTCCGTGGAGGTTGGGTGAGGGCGGGGCAGCCGGTGGTGAGCTTTTGGCGAGGCTGAAAGATCGTGAGAAGGGACAATGACAGACCGTAAACCTGACTGCTCCCCAAGATGCACGGCGGGACAGGCAAGGTGCAAAAAAAGTGGAGGGGACGTTGGAATGGAGATTTCTCAGTGGAGGTACGTAGCGAATTGCGGGAGCTCGCGCACGGGCTCCCTGACGATCCTCGCGTGGCCGCGAATCTCAGTTGTCCCCTGAGCACCGCGATGGGACAGTGGGTTGACGATGTCGATGAATCAACGGATTATCACACAAGGAGGAGATGCTTGGACATGTAGCAAAAGTGCTAGAGATTTGCATTGAAAACAATAAACGGCATGGCGTTTACATGAGGATATCGAAGAATTGAAGAGCGAAGAAAAGGGAGCGAGGCAGAAAGGAACGTCTCGCTGAAATGACACCTCTGGTTTCTGGAGACCAAAACTCCTGTAACGCCTAACCCAAATTTCCATCGTCCACCTGCCCCCTAAAAGCGCATCATGGCCTACAATGGGCAAGCGCTTGGTCAAAAGGCATCAAAGTGGATGCGCCATTCTGAGTATGAGACTGAAAAGTTGACCATCTGGTCATGGAAGAAGAAAAGAAAGAATTGGGAAAGATTTTGAAGATGTGCCACTTTCTTAGAAGCGCATGCACATCATGAGGCAGTCCATGCAGCTTGAACAGCACTGGGCCTGTGAGGTATTCGGGGCGCTCGTCAGCGGAATGTAATCGACAACGCTCAGATACGATGGAATATTCAAAATGACTTACGCAAGACCAGCCCTCTTTCTGGGTGTCCTCCTCCTTGGGTTGCACCATGTTGGGATCCATGGTCTGTCTTTGTGGTTGATCGGTCGTCATCTTGAGTGATTTTTGTCTGGGTGGTTTGAGTGGTGTGACTTATTGGCAGCTTGCTTGCCTGGCGTTGAGAAAGCTCGATTCCCTAGGATGAAAGGAGTGACTGGGAATCAAATCGGCAGAGAGAAGAACAAAAAAAGGACACGAAAATTGCAGTGAAGAAGATTACTCCGATTCGAAACGAGAGAGGGACGGGATTCGTGTGTCTCCTCCTCAATTATATCTCAAACAAGCACATCGATCTCGTTGCACCGGTCTCATCTCCTTGTGTGCCCAGGAAAACCAGAGAGTAAGAGGGCTGTGCAGCATCCCCGCCAAGGATCTTCCCATCCATACAATTTTAAACCTCGTCGACCCAGAATACGCGGACGGCTTACCACTCTTCGTACACAATACACAAGCACCAGTGACAACCACCACATGCTCCCGTTGCAGGACAACTACGCACCCGCCAGATTAAAAGAGGGGGGGCCCCAAGTTTCGTCTTGGCGAAGTTGGCTCAAGGGGTGGAGGGTCGTGTCGTCGCGCGCGAAGAAAGCGGATACCCGCACTCGACTGCTACAAGAATCACCAAAAGCGTTACATGGAAGTGACACGGCGAGGCAGCAAACCAGAGCGCCAAGTTGGTCAAATAAAAAACTGGATTCATGAGCCAATGCTGATCGGTGTCCGATACGGATAGGCAATTGGCCCGTGATGCCCTGTTTTCCGTTCCTCATTGATCGAAAGTTTCTCTCGTTCAGAATCCTCTGTCCGGGTCGTGATGCTTGGACGGTTGCAATTAAGAGGTTTGTGGGCGTATCTATAAGCTATCTTGGTGAAACTGTAGTACTTGAAACAGCCATTATCCCAGCTGGACTCGAGATGGCAGAAAACCGTTACCTTTCATGGCCATTCGGCGTTGTCCCCAACGTAGGTTTTGGTGTTCCCGGATTCCGAACCGCCAGCAAAATTGGACCTCTGGTAGGCACATGTGGTTAATCTCCCAAGCACTTTAAAGACGCGGCGGCATTGCGTACCCCTGAGCAGAGTTGCGTAGGCAGCAGGTTCGCGACTCCTCCCCCCTTGTTTGCCATGCGGCACTTCTATTCCTTTTTGGTAAGGTTTGGTTGTAAGAACCTGGTATGGGATGCAGCTGGCTATGAAAATATACGAGGCTTAGCTGTGAGACAGGATGATTCTGGGGTTGAGTCGAATAGATGACTGGTATGCTACAAAAGCCTCAATGGGCCCTGCTCACCATTTTTTCACCGTCCGGTAGGGCTGAACCTGAATCATAGGTTGAGGCTGTGACAAGTGGGAGCTTCAAACGAATCGGCCAGCAAACACCCGTCAGCTGTTCATAGATTGACCTCTTTCGCCGGGCTTTCAGTCTGGATATCTTATTCGACTTGACAGCTCATGCCACACTTGGTACTCCTCTGCGTGTTGATGCGTGCTTCACCTCTATTCTCCAATTCAATTAGACCTTATTTCTGACGTTCGTATTTGCTAGGTTGAAAAGAGACGGTTCAAATATTTTAGTCAAGCCGTGTAAACTTTGTCTCCATCAAAATCACCCAGCCGATATGGCTTCGTTTTCGACCCTAGAATCTCCGGGCACAAACTGACATTTTCCATCTCCTTCCACATTTTACTTTGTTCAACGTAGACCCCAAGTAGTTGTTACAGCCAAACATGTACCCAAACCGCCAAACAAACAAAAATTACGGTCTTGGGATGAGCAGGTGAATAAAGCTCAAGCATTAGTCTCCTTCCCCGTATACTCGGCAGTCCGACCGACCTTCTCCCACGGTGCAAACGCCTACGAAATTTGTTAGCAGCTGTGTAGAGAAACCAAGGACAGGGCTAACAGGACTTACGTTATCAACGTTACGCAACGGCGCAGCGAGCTCAGGGAAATGTCTGCACAGCACGTCCTTCATCGTGTTCTTCTGCACCCAGTCCATACCCTCCCGCGTGTACACCTCAGGACACCACCCATCGCCGGCGAGGAATCGGTCAGACTTGATGCGGCGGCTCGCCATGAGGATGAAAACGCGGAAGGCCGTGTCGCTGAACCCGAAGCCCTCAGGAAGAGGCTCGCTGAGCGTGCCAGCCAGGAGATCAACGGCCTCGATGTCGCCGTTGTACACCTCCTCCAGATCCGCCGCCAACTTTGCGGCCTCAGGACCGGGGCCGGTCAGATCTTTGAAGCTACGGACGGCAGGCATATGGAAGAGGCGGCGGAAAGCGTTGTACCTTGGCACCCCGCGCTCACGATCACGGAGGATGTCGACAGTGCCCATGTCGAGATGTCTACCCTGAGGGAACTCTTTGTCTGCGGGTAGGTGCAGGTCACGGAGAAAGTTTGGCATGTTCTTCGCGCGAATGGCGCCGGGGTAGTTGACGCCAAAGGAGTAGAAGACGTCGGCAAAGTTCAAACCGAGGCCGTTGCTGTTCGAGGTCTTATCGTCTAATGGTGTGCGGGCCCTTTCGAAAGCGACCTCCTTCATCGGAAGGGTGTCGGCGTGTTGGCCGCTCTTGACTTTGAAGAAGGCAATATCGTCGGGGACAAGCGGGTGCAGACGATATACGGAAACAAATTCCTCGGTCAGGGAGTATGGGGCGCCGTCTTGATCGGTTCCCGAGCCCGGTATTCCTGAGATGACCTCGGACTTGTTGTCGAAAATACGGCCGAAGACGTGCCACAACTGTTCAACCCCATCAGCGACTGCAACGCATAGACTTATACAAGAGGCTTACCTTGTCTCCAACCAAACCCCACCAGTTCGCCTCCATACCAATCTTCAATGTCGGATGCTTCAAGATAGCAGGCGTCCACTCGATGGTGTGAATCTTGGCCATGAGTGCACAATTGATCAACCTGGCCGTGTCAAAAATCTCATCACTTGTCCACGATGGGTTCGACAGCTTGAGATGGCCAGCGATAGCGTTATGCTCCAAGGCAAAGAGGGTATGTAGCATCTCAAGACCAACCCACCAATTATGATGGAAGCCGGTTTTGGGGATGCCGTTCTCGCGAGGAAGGAACTGTTCACCATTCACGCGGTCGACCGCAAGCTGTCCATCATGGCAATTGGATCGCAGTTCCACGGTTTCAGCTTCAGTCGAACCATAGATCTGTGAGCCATCCCACCAGTGCGTGTTTTCGTTCTTGTAGCCCGGCGATTCATCATCCAGCTTCGAGAGAGTACTGTCAACTTTGGTCTTGAAGATCTTCATCTTCTTGTCTGGCCAGGTGTCTCCCTTGGGCATCGGAACGTCCCAAGTCTCGTCGCTCGAGGCATGCTGCGCCCAGTCGTGGACCTGGAACTGAATCCAAGCCGCAGCGAGGAGGTTGACGATCGTGGCGGGCTTAAAGCCACCTTCCGGTCTCGCAAGGATCTTCTCAGAGATAAGCCTCGGGTTCGGCGTGAACAGCTCCTCGTGAGTGGGCATCTTGGCATGCTCTCTTGGGATGTTGCGGCCAAAACGCATCCCGGCGCAGCCCATCTTGGGCGCCTGGAGGTCGTTATACAGACCATCTGAGTTTCTGACAGCCATGAACTTGGTGTCGGACATGGGACATTGCGCCGTTGTACCTTGGTCTTCAGGAGAGGGGTATGTGTCGTAAAGGTTCTTCTGGCGGAGCTCGAATCGCAACGCCAGGAGGTTGAAGGCGCCAATGATAGCCGGCAATTTGTGCCATGCGATGAAGACGTTGACAATTTTCCAAAATTGAATGAACAAGAACTTGAAAAGGTCTTCCGCCGATTGGCGGACCTGGCTCTTAGTCGTAGGCTTCATGTTTGCTGTTAGTCGAGAGATCATTGACTTCCGGACATGACAGGATCTTCATCGGATAGGTATCATGCTATTCTTATACAGCTGTATTACCTTACATTGACGCCCGCCTGCGAGCCTCGAGCAGCAGTCACATGCCAGCCAAGACATAGAGGCTGTTCAAGGCAGTTTCTGCATTAAGCCAGCATCTCGAGCCTCGTGTAGCAGCATGTCATCCCGCCACCAGGCAGACAACAAATGGAATTTGTCTCAATCGTCAGCATATGCCACGAATAAGAAAGCACACAGACGCGCTGCCGTTCAGCTTGCCGTTGAAGTGTATCCTCGAAACCGCCCCCAAGAACGGCGGGGTCCCATACCTGTCATCCAATATCTCGATTCAGAAGGTAGGAAACGAAGTGGTAAGTGTGTACAACTCGATGCTGACTCCCAACTTACGTCCGCCGTCCAATGAGCACTGCCGGGGACGATCTCCCTTCCCGGCCGCCTTGCGCAAGTGTCCGGCTGAGGTCAGCCAGCTGAAGCGCCTGCTGACATGTTTGTCTACACGACTGGATCTGGTTCGCACTTGACCGCGAACTTGCAGCTGTAGAAGCCTTTCTAGCTTTGAAAGGGGTAATGTATGCTGCATCTTTATCGACACTTTTGGAATACCAAACGGGACTCAAAGTCAGGAATCAAGAGAGCAGGATGCCTGCTGAATGTGAGGGTGTCGTCATCTTACGGGGCTTCACATAGGCCAATTGATGACTCGACTGGAGGCTGATGTGCATGGCATGACTTGTGGAGTCGAGCCTTGGTGGAAGGGTGGCCTGAGACATCAAGATGAGCAATGATGAGTCCCTCGTTGGCATTACGGTCTCTACTCCGGCTCCAGGTGTCAGTGCATCCTAGGCTGCGTCTGTTGATGGGCATTGCCTTGCGAGGTGAAGTGAAGTGTTGATTAACTCACATGCATTCCTCACCTCTCGTTCTCGAAGACTGTAGGTAGAGGGCTTGGTGAGGGACTGTGTCAATTGCGTCTCGAGTTGACGAAGTGTGATATCTGAGAGGACGAAACTGTGTCTGCGGGACGTTTCCGCTGTCCAACTTTTTGCTCAGCATGGGAACAGATATGTGGCAGGTAGGTACAGCCAGGGCAACTTCCACATGTTAAAGGCTACGGGAAAGAGGCACCCCGTTCACCTCCGCCTCTTGAAAGGTAAGCAGGCACGGGCACAGATACGGCCTTCCCCTTCTAGCAAGCTACATATCCGCATGTCTCGCGCGTAGATACTACAAGGAAGGTCTCGATGAGCAGCTCCTTCCTAGAATTGCGTGGCATGAGATCGCTCAAAGGATGTGTGCGTTCAGCGAAGAACTTATCGAGTCAGGCTGCTACTGCCGCTCACTCGCGAATATCCCCATGCATTCAGCGCGTGTGCGTGGATCGCTGCTCGGTCACCATCTCTAGACGTGGTAGCAAGAAACGCAGTAAACTCTCTTGGCTAAACTCTCAGGTTCGCCTGGGTGCGTGGGGCTGCGTGTGAGCTGCTCCGTGTAGACTCCAGCTGGTGATCAAGCAAAAGTGAGGAAAGGCACACGACCACCTCGAGCCGAACTCTTCTTCATACCATCGCGCAAGGCGATGAATACAATGAAAAGTGTGGTTGAAAATCAAAAATTGCCACAGCGATGGCCCCGAAGGACAATCGAGAGAGGTCTACTCCGCGATGTGCAATGCAGGCATCCCTCTCTGCAGTCCGGATTTCTTGATCCCCAGACTGCCCATGAAGGTAAGTATGAAGAAGAAAAAGAGGAAACAGAGTAAAGGAGGGAGATTGGATGGGATTATATAGGTGTCCAGAGGGCAGCAGAGTGGGGCCGCATTGGCCTCAATCACTCGGTGGATCCGATCATTTAACAGCCAATGAAAAATCAAGACCAGGTCGCTGTTTTTCCATTGGCCGGAAAGGTACGGAGTGAGGAGTACGTCCCTGAATCTTCTACTCACGTGACCATACAATTGGAACCTGAAAGGCAGCCGTCGGGGTGCTTGTTAATGTCTTACAGGAAAGAGCACTGCTACCAGGGCAACAGATGGAGGGCTGGGCTGCGAGATGATCCATCTGGATTTGGCTCGAACGGCGCATCTTATTGAGTTGAACTTGACGCCCATGCTATTTATGGTGAATGATATTTGTCATTCAAGTACTGCCTCACCCAAGTTCCTGCCGACGTGTGCTGGAACTTTAGCTTCCTTCTCAAAGTCGAAGGCGTATGGACCTTCCGTTAGGTATTATAAGTAAATGGCCACAAATCGGATGGAGAGGTACGTTGCAGGAACCTTGGGGACGATGGTACCTATTTGCCTCCAAATCGCCAAGGTTCTCCAGAGACAGCAATTCTCTGATATGGCAGCCCGGCAGCATCGCGAAGCATGAACTGAAAGGCAGTTCCTACCGGATGCAGACAGAGGAGTTTGTGAGCCTTACAGGCCTGCGAGAGGGATATCGATCAGCCCGATGCTCGCAACCTTTAATTCGCAACTTTAGGAGGTTGCCAGCCGTCCCTTAGCATATTTGTGTCGATGAATCTCTTCCAGAAGAAGTGATCGATTGCTGTGACTCGTTGATGAGGGCATGCCACAGCGAATAGAGGAAGTTTCTCTGGGGTGGAAAAGTCGATGAGTGCACCGTTGCTGCTCAGAGAGGTACATGAGACTAAGGCTGCAACGCGTAGCTGTGCGAAGCAGTCACAGTTCAGTCTCAGGGTATTATTTGACTAGAAATGTCTAATCTCAGAACTTTTAGTGTTGTACGATAATTGGCATTGTCAGCGTTTCTTCGTTCGTATTACACGCTGGCTGAAATCGACTGACTAATCAACATGTTGAGGGAAACTAGTTGGCATTCAACCTTTCGAGATGCTCAACGCAATGCCATGTTCCGCAATCTCATGTCATCTAGGACATTCGGTATCACTATATATCACGATAGAAATGTCCAACTTTGACAACGATAATAACGAATTGGAGATGCTACGGCCTGCAATCAATGGCGAGATGCTACTCGAGCTGACCCCGCGTCCAGCAATTGATGAATCACCAAATCGACCATTACAAAAGATCGCCAGAAGTAAGCGACAGAAAAGTTTCACAGGCTGCTGGACTTGCCGCGAACGCCATGTGAAATGCGACGAACAGCGACCAGCGTGCCGGCGCTGCGTTGCTGGCAAGTTCACATGTCAAGGATATGGCACGCGACTGACCTGGCTCTCGCCCACGGGAACAGGAACATCAAGCAGTGGTGGCCGGCGTCGGCCGAGGACAAAGGCCAGCTCCTCATCGCAGAACCCTTCACAATCGCCGAATCAAGGGATATCTACAGCTGTTGATAATCAATGGACCGGCCCGCTTCTCAGATTCCGGGCGTGCGAACCACGCGTCAGGGTTGAAGATGCTTGGCAAGCTGGTAGAAGCACTGCGAGGAGGGAGCCACCGTCTCTAAACGTCCAATCGCATGATCAAGAACTGGAAATGCTACAGAATAGTAGATTTGACGTTGAGTGGAATTCTTTTGACGTCTCCAGCCACTGGGATCTATCCCCCATGGGTAATCCGGCATGGCCACTAGAAGCACCATCAGCTCCTGCTCGAGAAAGAGAACTCATCAACCACTGGGCGACGAACCTCGCACACAAAATGATACCCATTCGCAGCCCAGCGAACCCATTTCTGACGACTGTATCGCCCATGGCTCTCAAGGGAAGCCGCCTCGCCAAGACGAGATCAACATCAACCGTCGCTCTGTTTCACGCAGTCTGCGCCATCTCCGCGGCCCACCAGGCGAACCTCAGAGGCACCGACGACGCCCATGCCGGCTACGCAGATCTGATGCTCCGCCATAAACAGCTGAGCTTCCGCCACCTTATGCAAAATATGAGCTGCAGAGACCATGACGAGCGGATGGCGAGTCTGGCCACTCTCTGCCTATGGATTCTCACTCACTTTATCACCGGCACCGCGGGCGCCTGGCGCGAGGTCATAAAGGTGACCCGTGACCTCCTCGACGATACGAGCATGGAAACCTGGAGACAGTCGACTACCGCCGCCTTGACGTACGAGTCCTGCTCCTCCACCTTTGCCACGGTGCTTGCCCAGTACCTCGGACGATTAGACGCTCCCGTCCCGATGAAGACGTATCTGCCAGATGTCGAGCTATCGAAGAGCCAAATTATGCCGGTCAGGTCTCTCGAGCTGGTCTGTTCCTTCAACGCAAAACTTGTGCAGTCCTCAATCCTTGCAGGAGAGGACCTCGACCAACTAGAGATCGAATTCGCCTTGTCTACGCCTGAGCCTTCGGTAGATTACGACGCCAACAACGTGGAGTCGGCCATGGTGCACCACCACCGTTCGCTATTCTACCACGCGTGCTTACTCTACTTCAAGGGCAACTCTGGGAGGCGAGGCCCCGAAGAGGACGTCCAAGATCTGGTTGCTAGGTGTCTTGACCACATGGAGCACCTCGAATCCCTGCAGAAGAACAGCAGCCCCAAAGCGTGGGTCTACGCCACAGTGGCCTTCGAGGCCAGGACGCCGGAGCTACGGAATAGGGCAAGATTGCTATTCTCTAGAAAACAGTCACTCGGGATCGCTACCTGGGATACGCTGCTTCTCGCGGTTGAAGAGGTGTGGAAACGCCGCGACCTGGCTGCCTCTGGTGTATCACCGGAGCCTTGGACGCGTGTACTTTCACGGATGCCAGAGTTTGATGTGATTCTCTATTGAGATAGGTTCTGTGAAGACTATCTAGACCTTCCACTACTGTTTCTAAGAAACACCTAGTCTCTTACCCCTAAACGATGACCTCAGGATCCTTTTCAACCTCGGCCAGCAACTCCCTCACAGTCCTAAACTTGAGGCCAGAAAAGTACTTCTCGCGATGAGCAGCAACCTTCTCGACAGGCAGATCCCCAGCGTGACTGGCAGAGAAGATCCCATACTCTGCGATAATCCGCTCCTCGCCATTCGGGTCCGGGTGGGCAACGATATCCTCAACGTACTCAGCCAGACTGCGATACTTCACACTGACCTGCGGGTGTTTCTCCCGAATCAACGGGACAATCTCATTCCAGGTCGCCTTCCCTCCCGAGATGTACGTATACCGCTCCCAGCTCGGCGCAAAGAGGAGCTTGCCCACAGCACGAACCACGTCCCGAACGGCGGTCATATCCAGAGGCTCCTTGCCGGTCCCAGGAATCAGCATGCTTCCACCCGCGAGGTTGACGGGGATGGCGTCTCCGCCGTCGTTGAGGTAGCGGTTCTTGCGCGGCACAACATAGTCGATGAACCATCCGGTCGAAAGCAGCGTCCACTCCAGCCCCGTCTGCTGCTCCTCCAGCATCTTTCGAACCACTCCCTGCCGACGGGCGTAGAAGCCCGGCTGGTCTGGGAAGTCCTCCAGATTACCACCGTACTCCGCGGGGATGAAGCGCTTGCACGTCTTGCTGGCTTTCGCCGCCTCGATGAGGCGCGCGTGAACGTCGACAAAGGCCGGGGAGTAGTCCAGAATGTTGGACACCAGGGCGACGGAGCCCTCGATGCCCTCGAGGATCGAAGGAACCGAGTAATCCGTCACGACCTGGCGGACGCCCTGGATGTTTTCGAGCTCGGGTTTGAGAGAGCGAGTTAGGATGACGAGGTCGATGCCCATTGCGGGGAGCTCTTCGGCGAAGTAGCGGGTTACGGCACCCGAACCGGCGATGGCGACACGCATTCTGGATGGTGGGTATGGTTGAAGATGGGTACAGCAGACGGTTGATTTATAGAGCAAGGCAATTGTATAGCTGCTATGAGTTTGTTGATGCTCAAGATCTTTTGGCTTTTGGAAGATGGCTCAAACCATCCTCTTATACTCGCCCTATCTGACCATTATGTAGTCGAGTCTCCAAACAAGGCATCTTCATCAATCAGCATCCGGCGTCATTAACGAGGGTCTGCTGTATTCAGGACTGACATAATCTTCCACGTTTATAAGCAGAGTGATTGTCAAGCCACAGCCAAAGCATCAATGCAGACATCGAAGCCGACGTTGGTGTTGACAGCCCGTGTTAGTCTACAGATCACTTCCCGATTGGGCAGTTCACAGCGAGCTTGCTCTTGGCGTCAAAATCGCTGATTAAGCTGGTTCCGTCTGTCAACCCCAAGCATCTCAACTTCTCAAGAGACGCAGTAGAAAACTCCAAGGAAAAGGGGCGAGCGGTTCAATATCATATGCAAAGTGAAGTCAGAGTATGATAATGGCATGGGGTATCCCTTCCGATTGTTCTCCGCCAACAAACTGCTGTCCTTGAAGGTCTGGTATATATACAATGCGGACCAGAATGATTAAGCAGAGCCAAAAAAACAAAACTTGTGACAATTTCCTTCTCCTGAGTGACTCGAACCAGAGCCATACTCCCGTCCAGCAACCTGATATCTGCAAAATACAACCCAAAACGCCATACAAGGGCAATGCCTCGCTCATAGTGCAAGCGTCAAGCCATGCCATGATCCTAACCCTGAATGCCCTCCCAAGTGAGTTGGTCAGTGATGTCCCTAACACTCAATCCGGTAATACTGAAGATAGTGAAGTCGAGCTCTTCATCCGACATATCCTGTCCAACCTGTTTCTGTCCCTCGAGCACATCATAGAGTGCGTAGATTTGGCCGTTCTTGACCTCCTGCGCGTTCATATTGGCATCAATGTTTGTCTTGAGCTGCTTGCGCTTCGTCTCCGCAAGAGCAGGGTTGTGGTTATCGTATCGAGCCTGCATCTTGGCGTGTTCCATCTTCATGTGCTCCAGCTCATCCTCGAGACCCTTGATGACCTTCGCCAAAGCATGTCCAGGAGGCTGAGAAGGACGCATTGTGAGGTCGTCCGCGGCAGTGCCCAGCGTCTTATACTGATCCGAGGGAGCAACGGGCCTAGAGATCTTCACTCGCTTCTTTCCCTCAGCAACGTCGGCAGAAGTGATCGTTCCCCGATGAGCCTTGATCCGAGTGCACACAATGCAGTTCTTACAGCTGTGTCCGGCCAAGCTATCCAGGACACGTCGAGCGTCGGAGGTCAAAGCAGGACAGTTGCCCTTGACATCAGTAGTCGAGGTGTGGTCTAGCCCGCCCTGCGTAATCAGATCGACGGTAATGGACTTGTCCTTGGAAGGCTTTGACGTGGACTTTGATGACTTCTGGCTCTGGCTAGTCAAGTTTCGGGTGGTGTTCGTTGTTTCTTGGTGGACAGTACGAGACTCCTTTTTGCTCTTCGTCTTCATGTCGATCACCATGGAGTGAGTCTGCGTCTGAGTGTGCTCGGGCGATTGCATGTTGCCCTCGTCATCGGCTTGGAACGGGTCGAGATCGGGGAGAGAAGCCCCCTTGAAAGAGCTCTTGGGAGTGGATTGGGCAGAGATGCTCCTCTTGCTACCCTTGTTGGCAGTGTTGGAGGCCTTACTGCTCTTTTCCCTCGCGCTCTTGGATTTGGAACTCGCTGCCAACCGTTCGGGGAGAGAGAAGGACACCTTCTGCTGACTGGTCGAGTCCTGCGCACGGTGGGTGGAGTCTCGTCTCTTAGAACGACCCTCGGCTGCGACGGAGCTCTGTTGACTCTGAACAGTGTGGTCGAGCTCATTAACACTACGATCTGTCTGCTCAGTGGTGTCCTGAATCTCGGCAGCCTTCCTGCCTGGCGTCGCTTGCCTCTGGATCTTCTTCGGCTCAGGAGTGAAATCGAGAACCCTCGAGTTTTGTGTGCTGTCAATCGTAATGTCCGGCATGAAGAACGCCGAAGTCATGTTCTCCTCCGTTTCCTCGTCGTCAACTCCCTTATCCAGACGCACGGAAAAGTCATCCGTCTTTCCGAGAGGACGGCAGTGGTCGAGCTGCTGCTTGAGGAACTCAATCTCCTCCTTCAATTGCATATTCTCGTCGTGAAGGTCGTGAATGCTGCGCTCGAAACCCGAGTTTTCGCGGCGAAGGATCTTGTTCTCGTTGAAGTATTTCTCGTTGTGGCGAACGAGGCTATCGTTGTCCTCCTTGAGAGTGGATTTCTCTTGCTCCATGGTGTGAAGCTCAACCTGCAAGGCTTCGACTTCATCGCGGGCTGCCTCGAGATCCTCCTTGGCATTGGTCGTGGTCTGGCGAAGCTCCTCGTTCTCGGACATGAGCGATCGCGCATTAGCCCTCAAAGACCTGTTCTCGTTGATGAGAGATTCTTGTTCGCGCCTCAGAGAGTTGTTGTCTGTCCGCAGAGACTCCATTTCCTGTTGTAGAGTTTCCTGTTCCTTGCGAATGGTCTGGTTCTCTTCCTGAAGAGCTTTGTTATCGGCGGACCGGACCTCGTGGCTTTGCTTGTCCTGACGGAACACCTCTTGCTGGTTGGTAAACTCCAGAGTGGCATTGAGCTTATCTTGGGTCTCATGGAGTTCTCTTCCCTTGATTTCGAGTTGATCCATGAGATCGCCGATTTGCATACAGGCGTCTGAAAGCTTCTTTAAAGCCCGGTCTCGCTCCAAAGACAAGGTGTTATTTTCGACCTCGTTAATGCCGAGCCGGGTGCTTGCCTGGTCCAAGCGTGCTTGCAAAGATGTTACCTGCGATTCCAACTCTGTCACTGGTTAGATGGAATTTCAACGAGCAGTCTCATGATACTCACTCAGCTTCTGTGTCTGATAGCGCTCCTCGCCAGCCGTTTCCGGCTCCGAGCCTGTCCGGGATCCGAGGGCACTATCGATAGACTTGCGGCCCTTGATGCGCTTCAATTCGGTCTGAAGATGGTCCACCTGATTCTCGAGCTCTACTGCATGCTGCTGAACCAAATCATCGTGCTCCTGAAGATTGCAAATCTCGTTCCGGATCATATCCATAGACACGAATATCTTCTCTTCATCCTCGGGAATCGCAAGGCCGTCCACCTCGGCATGGTCATTGGGCGGCAAGGTATCAATGCGGTCCCGCACTTGTCCGTTCTTCACGAAGACTGGGACGCCATTCTTCACTGCGCCATTGAAGCGCAAGTTGCCGGAGATGAAGTCATTAAGGTGAGAGATATCGGGCATGAAGAAAGAGCGTGACGTGGCGCCATTTTGTGCCGGGCTATCGGTAGTGGCCGGCGAAGGGAACGTGCTTCGGATCGTGTTGAATGTGACAGGCGTAGACTTATTTGTATGGACGTTGTCGGCTGTGGTCTGCTTCGGGGTGGCTTGTGTTGGGGGAGCCAGGAAGTCCGACTTCCGTCGGTCCGTGTTGGCGGCGTAGGAAGATCGCCGTGCTGACTTGTGATTGCCAGATGCTGATCGAGCGTGTCCTCTTGACAAGGGACTACGGTTCATCTGCTGTTGAGGGTTGAACTTGAAGCTGTCGGCATTGATATCGAATCGGAAAGGTGACTTGGACATGTTCGCTGACATATCGGACTCGTTGTCTTCGACGCGGGGCTGCATTTCAGCACGCGTCCGCTTAGAACCCTGCCAAGTCATGTCCGTGGAGTCATCATCCATGTTGGAGAGATATTTCTGGACAATAGCCTTATGGGAGACGGTGTCCTTGTGACGCAATGAGCCTGTGGACTTGGGAGCGGGGTGGTTGTGTCTTGCTTCGACATTGGCCTTCGGCTTGCCGTAGAATTCGGGCCACTTGCGGTGGGCAGCGTCCAAGTCTACTTGTATCTTGCCACCAGTAGGACCAATAATCCGAGCAATATCTTCGTTGAGTCTGCGGGTGGATTCTCCGTCGGGTTCTGAGAAAACAGAGGACATGGTCGGGCTGACGGTGCCGTGGGAGCCTGTCGAAGAAGGCGGGGAGTTGAAGGGGTTGTCGCGATTTGCGTTCATTTCCCGCAGAATGCGAGAACGGTAGCGGTTGTGTGCGGAGTCGGCCTCCATGACTGCCCGGGACGCGTCGGGCGCGGTTTCCGGGATGGGAGTCGAGAAGAAAAAGTAGATTCACGATGGCGCCGCAATGGGTAGAAGCGACGCGTCGAATAGCTGATATCGCGCAGACAATTAGATGGTAAGACTGAATCGAAGCAATACCGAGCAAGAGAAAGGTGCTCAAGGCATAGAAGCGCGCACAATGGCTAGACGAAAGACAGAAGAAGCTGTGGTGTATGATGAAGTTCACAACCCAAGCAAATGATGGAGAAGGAAGAAGCGTCCTAGTGCGGAAGGGCAGGGGTCGGTTTGTTTACTTTCGGAGCCGCAGGCGTAAACAATTGGCGATTGGCCGTGGGCGTCAGTGCATGTTAGTGGGGCAGCCCTGCCTCCCCCAGCCCAGCTCAGTGCCCTTGCTGGACGAATCATCACTAACAAGTCGCCAGCCTCCAGCCCTCTGCAGCTGGAAACGCGTGCTGGTTGGTCTGCACTGGACAAAGAAACGCGCCCTTTTGTTCGCACAAGACAGGGTCGGGAAACCGTCAAGTCAAATTGGCAAAGGCTTCTCATTTTGATCTAATGTCTGTATGTGTTTAGACATACGATTACTATAGTTGGCATACGAATACAGGTCCCAAAAGTTATGTTAAATATGACTGGGACTTTAAGTAAGGCGGGCAAGTTCAATTAACTTAATTAAGCAGGGCACTCGGTTATTTCATCCGTCATTACGTCAGCCATCCATTCTCGCCGAGGTGAAGAGACATTTCCGCCTTCCTCACCGAGCCAGTCGTCGCTGTCTTCACTTGAGACCTATTGTAGACTCGGTGAGGCAAGACACGTGGTAAGCACTTAGAGTTTCCGCTAGTCGTGCAGATGAATAAGACACCAACATCAGGAACGGGAAGAACCTTCCTCAACTTTTACCGCTCACACCAAAAGTCATCTAGCAGGTAGGCGCAAGGTGGTTGAGACAGATTCTAGCACGGTCGAGCACATCTCAACGCATCTCTAACAGACCGACTCGGTCCGTTTCACCCTAGTGATGCATTCCCCGACTCGCTCAAGCACCCACGGCACTTTTCAACGGCCGTCGACTTCCATTCCTACTTCAAGGTCAAGTCCCATGACCCGAGACATCTCATCCGTATCTTACCTAGATAATTCTATTAGTCAGGGAGACGTTGCTTCGAGGTTGGAGAGCCTCTACAACCGTCTATACTTGCTTGAGATATGACTGCTCTTGGTTCCGTCCGTGGGCACAAGGCGCGGGTCACCAGGTCCACCAACTTGGTCGCCAGATATCAGCAGGTGATCACGCCGACTGCGAGCGGTGCCATGCCATCGTGGGCGTTGGTTTTCCTTACACCGCCGAAGAGGCTGGAAAGCGTGGAACCGTTCATGCACAACGTAAGGTACCTGGTTAAGGTAGTCTCGTGTAAGGTACGTATTGCCTTGCCGTTGGTAGTAGATCCAAACCAAGCATCCTTCCGATCACCTCGTGCGCAGAATATTCGTTCGACATATGGCGATGATAGTGGCAGAGGCAGGATCCATTAACATGTTTACTGCGATCTAATGTGTACAATCTTCTTCTGCGGATAGCCGAACCTCGTACTCGATCGGCAAAGGAAATGAACCGATTCTCTCTTACCCAGGGCCCAGGGCAGCGAGGGCAGTGACAGACTGACAGGACAAAGCGCAGGGTCTTGGCGCCGCCAGAACTGCCCCGCATGAACTTGTTCTAGTGGCCGACGCCGCCACCTTTCCGAGGGATGGTGGATGGTGGGCGGGCGTGGTGGGAGGTGACCACCACGCACCGCTTGCACCATCCACTTCTGTCAGTTCTGTGACCTCTCGGTGCGCCATTCTGTGACCACTAGAGTCTTGAGGGGACTTTGAGGGGTCCATCTGCCTCGTGCAGGTGGATCTTTTTTCTCCAAGGTTCTCCTGCGAAAACGGGCTTGGCCTGGTCTTCGACTCTGGGCAGTCCATCGCCAAAGAGCCCTGCGCCATCACTCGCTTCCTTCCCGCATTTCGCCCGGCCGCCGTTTGACTTGCTCTTCCCCAGCTTTCCCACTGGCTTCCCGTATTGCTGCTTGCATCGCATAGTTCCTCCGCATCTTCCCTCGTCGCGTGCCCTCTTTCTTCAACTTTGCCAATTCCTCGTGCATATTATCATTGTACAATTCCCGCTTCGGCGACTGCGAAGTCCTTCTGAACATGGCAGAGCGCTTCCATACATGAGCGGCCTTTTCTGGAGCTGATTGCTCGCCATCATTAACTGAGTTGTCTTATCTTTTGATCTCGATACCGATTCTTCCATCATGCGTCGATCAAACCCCCGATTGCCCGAGGCTTGCCTCTCGGTGCTTGCGCTTTCTTCGTGCGCAACAGCCCTCGTTGCGACTCCTCCGAATGCGCTCGAGACGTATTGCCCCATTTTCTATGCCGAAAACCAGCCTCCGACCGACTGCGAACCGAGACAGCCCACGTCCTTCCTAGAAACCCCCCAGGTTGAAAGAGATGCCACTGCTTATACGGCCAAGGCCAAAGACGAGCCACTCGAGGCCACCTTTGAAGCTCTTACTGTCATGCAGCATGACTTCTTCGTATCGGATCAGGGAACATGGCCCGAAGCCATCGACTGGACTGCGGCCGTCATGGAAACGATGCTGTCAGGCTCATTGACTTCGCTCTCGCAAGCATTGGCCGTTCTCGATATTGGAGGAAGCGGTGATAAGGGGGCCAAAAGAAACCTCATTGATACTTTCTTTACTCAATTAGTGGCCTCATACTTCGGCCAGGACGACGTTGCGATCCGCCACCAGGTGCGTCTCTTACCCCCCCATAAATATCACTTCCAAGCAGCGCATGCTGACCAGTACATAGGCTTTCGACGACATTCTTTGGGTTGTTCTTGGTTGGATCGACGCCATCAAGTTTATTGACATACACTCAAAGCTCTTCTATCCCCGGGAAGGCCTCAACGAAAGCGCAACGCCAGGCCTGGGAGATGCCTTGGCGAACGGGCCCTGGCATGGGCAATACTGGATACCCTCTTTTGCTCACCGGGCCAGAATCTTCTGGGACCTTGGGTCCAAGGGTTGGGACACACTACTCTGCGACGGCGGTATGAACTGGAACCCGAGATTGGAGCCCTACAAGAACGCCATCACGAACGAACTCTGGATTGCGGCTTCGATCTCAATGTACCTCTGGTTTCCAGGTGATAACAACACCACGCCGTGGATCAACCGTGCCAGTGGTGTGGAGGCCACACGAGAGCCCAAGTACCTCGCCGCTGCCATTGAAGGCTACAGATGGCTCACTGGCGTCAACATGACCAATCATGCCGGTCTCTATGTTGACGGCTATCACGTTGATAGGTCCAAACCGGGCAACACCAAATGTGATCAGCGTAGTGAAGCTGTCTTCACCTATAACCAGGGAGTGCTCTTGACTGGCCAAAGAGGCCTGTTTGCCGCCACAGGCAGTGCTTCTTACCTGGAAGATGGGCACAGGCTGATCCAAAACGTTATCAAAGCCTCGGGCTGGGATTTGACGCTCAACAAGCCAGTTGATGACTTGTCAAAGCTCCCTCCAGGTTACTTGCCCCCCTGGCGAGGCCTGGGCCGAGGAGGTGTCATGGAAGAAACCTGCGATGCTAGCGCGACTTGCTCCCAGGACGGGCAAACCTTCAAGGGCATTTTCTTCCATCACTTTGTAACCTTTTGCCAGCCACTGGACGCCGCCATCGTTGAACGCGGCATGACTGTCAACGCAAAAGCGTACAATCAAGTCAAGACGACCCACGCATCGGCCTGCCAGGCCTATCTGAAATGGGTTGAGCACAATGCTAACGCGGCTTTGTTGACTAAGGACAGGGAAGGCCGTTTCGGTACGTGGTGGGGAGCAGGCATTTTCTTGAAAAGTGCGCCGACAATGCAGACGGACGGTATTCCTCACGACGCACCCAATGTGACTGATTACCGTAACTACGGGCTGCCGAACGACGGCGTTTGGGCCCATGGTAATCCTGACGAGGTATGGGCACCAAATGGCGAGGCGCGCAAGAATGAGAAGAAGGGCTACGTCCTGGTCGGTGATGATGAACACTCTGGACAGCAGGTTCTTGGTGGTTCTGATAGACAAGGATCTCATAAAGTGGACGAGGTCGGATCTGAACGGCACGTGAAGTCAACGGCAGCGACTGGTGATCCGAACGACCGCGGCCGGGGTAGGACCCCGGAGACGCAGAACGGCGGAATGGCTTTGATGCGGGCTTGGTGGGAGCTCGTAGCGGCGTCAAATGGTACGTACGAACCATAGCGGCAGATGAGACGACGATGAAGATATGCATGATATGAAGTCATTTTGGCTATCTAGCTATTTGCCTTTTTGGGCCTACGAGTATAGACGAAGAAGTTCTTCCCCGTATATACGCACGCATGGCATAGCCGCCGGCCGGTTACGCCGGCCTTCGGTTTGGACATTCCTCCTTTTTCTCTTTACCTCTCCCGCATTCGCACTTCAGTAATTATGGTGGTCGAGAATGCTTGTTGACTGAACCGGAGACATCGTACTCAATGAGGCACCATTCACTCTGCCCCACTACCTTACTTTCAAGGGTGTCTTACCCGCGGAACGCTATCAAGACTACGACTGCTGCGCCGTACCTGACCACGCTAAAATCGTACCAAACCAGCCATCATTGGTCACTTAGCCGAGTGCGAACGATGCTGACATGCTGACATCCTTCCCCATTCCCGCTGTAGCCTCCAATCTCCATTGCGTGGCTGCTCAGCCATCCATTTAGGGGCCCTGGAAGTCCAAGAACTTCGAAGGAGTGCAGGAGGCTAACCAACACCTCGCACCTTTGATCGAAAGAGGGGCACCCCCGGGGTTCGCGAGGGCCGCTTCGAGTGGTTAAACTTGGGCGGATCCGGCAGCACGGTGCCGGGCTGGACCCACTTGGCTGCCGTGGCTTGGCAGGAGATTCGCTGCTGGGTCGTTGTCCTGCCCGCTACGCCAGAACGCCGTGCGCCTCTGGGGCTCTGGGGAAACGCTTTCGAATCGACTTCCCAATGGGGGAAGAAAGCTTGGAGGGCGCCGATATGGGCTTGTGGGAATCGAGATGGGGATGATGGGTGGTGGTCTTCCCCCCTCTTTGTTGATATTGTGCTTTGGAGGCAGCTAGATATAAAGGGTTGGAAGATTCCTGATGATTTACAAGTTTGAATTTGGAAGAGCATCAGAAGCATCGAGCATCACCAAGCATCAAACATATCCAATAGCACACTTTGAAAATCTTTCCCCATCCAGACCAACACATATCCATCATCTTAAGCATAGTAGCGCATCTATCATCAAGTCTTCGTCCATTCAACCAGCCACATCCACCATCAAGACTCGTCACCAAGCTTTCCAGCCTCCAACCTCCAACCTCAGAAGCAAAAACACCACACTTACTCACACAATGGGTCTCATCACCGGCCTCGTCTCAACCGTAGTCCACGCCGCCGCCGGCCGGAACCCCTACAGCCACAACCACAACAACCAGTCCCCCGTCACAACCCCCGGCAGTACTGGCCCCAGTACCGTCGCCGGCCCCCACGAAGGCCACAACCACACGGGACCCGACGGTCAGCCCTGCGGCATCTGCAAAGTCGCCCTCCCCTTCGGCAAAGGCCGCGAAGCCAAACGCGAGCGCAGAGCCGCGCGCGACGAGCGGAAAGCTGTGATTTATGCCATGAGGGCGCAGCAGCGCGGGGGCAGGAGGGGACGGTACGGGTATGATACTGCTGGGTTCATGGGCGTTGCTGGACCTTATCAGCAGCAGCAGGGATATTGCAGCAACAACGGAAACAACATGTCACGTGCCGGCCCGTCGTCTGGGCAGGAGGAGGGCGTTGGGGAGAGGAGACGGGCTTCTACAGGCGACGATGTACCGCCGCCTGCGTATTCTGCTGCCGGACCTTCGTCTATGAACGTTGGCGTTGAGGCGAGTCGGAGCGTCGAGGTTTTGGGGAATGGTGATGAGAAGGAGCGTCCGGAGAAGGCTTGAACGTGGTCATCGGATGTTAGTGATGACTGCTTGCTGGTTTCTTTTGTATGATAAATAGAGCGAGCGTGGCGTCAGGTTCTTTGGGGATAGATGGTCTGAATATTCTTTTTCATGGTTCGAAATCACCCTTTTTATTTGACTCTTGGTCTTGTGTCTAATTCACAGATGCTCGGATGCTGTCGTGACGTATGCTGATGTACAATTGGGGCTTCTCTTTCCTCCGCACCCCGTCTTAGCCCCCCTTAGCTTTTTGTATCAAGACCTGAACCGCCCGTGGCATGGTCTGGTAAGCAAACCTCGTAATTGTTTCCCCATTGCCGTGCCACCTTCGTCCACACTCCTGTGGAAGGTCATGCTTTTGTTGTCTGAGAAAGTGCAGTCCTCCTACGAGAACAGCATTTTACCGCTGACCGGAGAGACGACGGCTCTGGACCTCGCCGAGGGCCTTGGTGCCGCTCAGGAAGATGGAGGTCGCGACGATGGCGACAGCGGGCAGGGTCTGGAAGAGGGTCCAGGCGCTGTAGTACATGAAGAAGACGCCCTCCATGGCTACGATGGATCCAAAGAAGGCGACGTGGGAGAAAGGCGCGGCACCGAGGGCCCTTTGGATGTGGTTGACGTTGGCGCCGAGAGAGAGCCACTGCAGAATGGAAAGTCAGTCAATGTTACATTTTCATGTTACAGGACACATTGTTTCTCCCAATTGTAGGCGGAAACATGGAGGGATAAACACTTACGCCAATGAGGAGAACGGGAATCGTGGCCAGAACGGCAATGACAAAGGCCAGCGAGATAATCTTGGGAGGGCTGCGGGGGTCCTCGCGGAAGATGTGGCTGATCTCGGGCTGCTTGCCGTAGCGGAGGGGAGCGTCGTAGGTCGGGGCGGCGGCGCTGGCGTCGCGGCTCACGGAGACGTCGAAGAGGGTGGTTTCGAGGGCTTTGGCGGCACCGAAGGAGCCGATGACGATGCTGGCCTTGAGGGGTTCGTTGGCGAGGAGGAGCTGGACGGGGAGGTCCTTCTGGGCCTGTTGTAGTTCACGAGGATTAG